CCACAACCAAACCAGAGCCCACAACCAAACCAGAGCCCACAACCAAACCAGAGCCCACAGCCACAACCAAACCAGAGCCCACAACCAAACCAGAGCCCACAACCAAACCAGAGCCCACAACCAAACCAGAACCCACAGTACCAGTTCACAGCACAGCTGAACCAGAACCCACACAACCAGTGTCTACCACAGCCAAACCAAAACCTACATCTGCACTTCCAACCACAACCACAGCCAGGCCATCACCCCCAGCCACACTCCCAACCACAGCCAAGCCCAAACCCCCAGCACACGTACCCTTCAGCACAGCCAAGCCAAAACCTGCCAGCACAGTCCCTACAACCCCAGCCAGGCCAAAACCCACAACACCAGCAGCCACCACAGCCATGGCCAAGCCAAGACCCACCATGCCAGCAGCCACCAGCACTGCATCCAAGCCAAAAATCACCACAACTATGGCCAAGCCAACACCCGCCACACCAAAACCCACCCTAACAAGCACTGCCACTAAGCCAGCTACCACCAAGGCGACATCCACTCCCCTGAAACCCAGCACAACCACCACCACCAAACCAACAACCTCCACACCAAACCCCACCACAACCACCCCTACAGCCAAGCCAAAACCCACCCCAACTGTAGCTAAGCCAAAACTTGCTACAGCCACGGCCAAACCAACTCCCACCACACCAACATCTACCACCACTACAGCCAAGCCAACACCTGCTGCTACAACACCAGCAGCTGCCACAACAGCAAGGACACAACTGAAAACTGCCACAACCACAAAGCCAGAGCCAGAAAGATCTGATCTTACTGAGGCAACCGAGATCACTCTTTCCTTTGAGCCCACCATAGACCCAGATTATGAAGTGTCTCCAGAGGCAGACACTGGAGAGCCTTTTAGCTCCTTCACTACAGAGGATCCAGCCTTATTAGAAAGCATGGGCACAGCCTTCAGCCCCAGATCAGTCCCAGAAACAAAGAAAGAGGTCAAAGAGGATGGGAAAGAGAAATCAGCCTTTTCCAGTCCATCTCCATCCCTCAGCCAAGCTGTGACAGAGATGAAGTTAGGTTTCAATAGAGCTGAGCTCATAACCCCCTCCAAGTCAGTGGTCCTCAGCCCTGAAGAGCCCACATTTTTGCGCTTAACATCATCCTCCAAAGACAAAAAAGGGCCGAGCCCCCATTTCCAGACCTCCCTCTCAGGTAAGGCAACCATGGAGTTTGTCCTGGCATGGACACACGGACATTCAGGGATCCCCAAGCAGCATGGAGAGGGCTTGGGAGGAGCAGTGTCACACTGGTCCTTTGGATCCTCCTCTTATATGTGGCACCAAGACTTTTCCTCACTCTTTGCTCTAACCCTGAGGGGCTGATTGGATGTCCCTGAAGCATGGTCCCATTCACAGCCTGCTCCCACTAACGCACAGCTTCCCTGGACCAGAGCTCTACTGCCTCATGGTGCCTTGGGGCACATCATGGCACACCTGCATGAGTGGGAGTTTCTCTTCTGCCAGATCTTCCCCTCTAACTCCACATTTTCCTCTCCTCTTCCAGCAGGTGCCCTGGACACAGAAGAACTGGAGACAAACTCGGACCAGACAAGTGTGGATCCACCCAAAGGTGGAGCCCCCAGTACCTGCTTGGGGCTTTCGCTCTTCCTCCTCCCCAGTGCCATCCTGGTGGGCCTTCTGCTCTGAAGGGTCTTCCTCAGCTGTCCCTGCACCCCTCACCAAGGCTTTTGTCAGCACTGGTTATTCCACAGCCCTGGTAGGCTCAGGAGACTCCTTGGACAATTCACACGCTCCCTCCTTACGCTGCCTTCTCTGCTGCAGCCCCGGCGAGCCAAGGGCAGCTGGCAGTCCCAGGGGAACTTTGTCCCCTTCCTGAGGAGACCTGAGGGCAGGAGGGTGTTTGCCATAATGCTGGTGACCTTGGACGCTTCTCCTTTTTCCTGGCTTCTGTTCCATTTCCAGGCTGGAAGTGTTGAGCTCTCCCACGCACCCACAAACCCGTCTGGCTGGCAGGCCCTGCCACAGCGTGACCCTGGGGACAGAGGGTGACTTGGGGACAATGAGACATGGTGGTTGGCTTTGGTGTTTGTAGATGAGACATGGTGGTTGGCTCTGGTGTTTGTCAGGATGAGTTTCCAGCAGAAATGCTCTTTTCCTTTCCAATGTGTTTCAGTTTTGGACATATGTTATCTCTTTCCTTTTTCGTCTAAATAGAGTGGCTTTTTTGAGGATTTCTGTTTCCCCCTGGTTGTGGTGTAGCTCTGGCCAGTACTACCCAGCTGATCCCCCCTCTCCTCCTCACACTCTGCAGCCCTTGCCTCCTCCCTCTCTTCTCCTCCCTCTCTTGCTGTCTGGCACATGTCTCATTCCTCCCCCCGTTACTCCAATGCCACAGATTTATTTTACACGTGTGCCTGCACCTGTGTGCACGCACAGAAGAGAAACCTTCAGAGCTGAGAGAGGCCACCAGCTCCTTCATGTAGCTTTTATCTGCATGGCTTCATTCTTTGCATAATTTCTGTGTATTTGAATTAGGATACAGATTCCTCTTGACACGTAACTTGTGCGTGTGCGGTCAAGGAGAACAAGTCCCCACATGTGTTGGTACAATTGGAGCTCCAGACATACAAGTGACATTGTTAGAAGTTATTGGTGGCTCCTGGGCTTGTTGCAGTAGCACTGACATTGTCTGGGCCACTGTGTTTTGTTACCCCACATCTCTCCTCCCTTCACCTGAGGATTCCCAGTCTGGTGCGTTAAATATGTGACAAGTTTTGCAGACAGGTGGAAGGAAGACAACAGCCCCCTCTCTGGTCATTGCAACTTTTCATTTCTTACGGATGAGGTGGAGGATAACCTGCAGGCCATTATTCAGATCCTCCACTGCTGCTCTGTCCTGTGCATCCCCAGAGCATGCACTGAATAAATCCTGTTGTGAAAATCTGTTCGCTGTCTCTCTGGGGAATCTGGACACCTGGGAGCAACTTATTATACCTGTAAAATGCTCTTAATTATGTGCTTACCTGGAACTGATAAAAGACAGCATGACTTCCGTGGGTCCTGAACAGGATTTTTGGCTTTCCAAAAGCATCCATGTGCTGCTTTTTGTAAGGGTGTAACTTAATGTTTTTAAACTTGTGTAAAAGCAGCAGGAGGCTATGGGGATTGAGGATGACAAAGGGAATTTTTCTTGAGCATCCAGCTGAGTGTAAAGTAAAAATGTGTCCTCATCAGGAATTCTAGGGCAAGGGAAGCAAGAGAAAAAGAGCTCAGAGCAAACAAAGAAATAAAAACTATGGCTACAGCACTTCTGGTTCCCTGTTTTAGGAAGCCCAGCACAAGCTTTTTACACAATAAACACACACAATTTCATCTTTGCAGCACAGAAAAAAGTTAAATGCAAGTGTACATCCCCAGATTCTGTTTTTGCAGCATTTTCACCTCTGGGAGCAGCAGAAGTTGAAAGTGGCTCGAGAGGCAGAATCAGCACTGGAGCGATGCTGGTGTCTGACTTTGCCTTTTGCTTTTCCCCATCCTCCTGCCCCTGCTTTTCTCAGCAAAGCTGCCCTGCAGCTCCACATTTCCTTTCTCCCGGGCCCCAGCTGTGCTGCAGGACCCTGGCTGAGGTCACTGCCAGTCCGGCCTGACCAGCAGATGGCACTGGGAGAGGCACCGCTGAGAACTGGGCAGCTCAACTCGCCCCGCACACCCTGCCCGCAGCTCTGAGCTCTGTTCCATCGCCAGCTTCAGCTGGAGCTAAGAATCACATTAGAAATAACCTCTATTATTTCTGCTGCCCAGCTGCCTTCGGGGGACAAACCCATCCCTGGCCTCTGGACAGAGGATAAAAATACAGCCCCCCAGGCTGCTCCTCACCCGGGACAGGGGAGTGGGGTCGGAGATGAGAGAGCATTTCAGGACCTTGTCAGGTTTTGCATCTGCGTGAAGGACAGTGTGGCATTCCCTAAAAGTTCCCTAGAAACACTACAAAGAGCACAAAACCATTTCTCCTCCCAGCAAGATCAGGGCACTCGAGCAAACCCTGATTTTTTGCAGTGCTGGATGTCCCACCCTGCTTAGAGCCAAGGAGGCACAACATCGAGGCTGCTGATTAACAGCCACCACCATCATTCCAGGATTCAGGTGTTTTATCACTGGTGTGGGGCTACGAACCTTGTGAAAACTCCTGAGTTTTGTTCTCCTGAAGGCTTTGCCTTGTGGAGTCAGGCTGTTGTGCAAGGACCTATTTATAGAGTTCCTCGCAGCAGCAAAGTCCAAGCCAGAAGGAAATCCGCTTTCCTCTTGCCCTGCTCCCCAGGCCAGCGGGGCTGAGCCTGCCCACAAGGGAATTTGGGGGCTTTGGCTTCATCCTGACTTTGGGGGTTTAGGCAAGGGCAGGGTTTGGTGTGCTGCACAGGGGAGAATGCACAAAACATTCAAGGGAGACTTTTGCAGCATTTCCACTCCTTTTCTGGGGTTGGCATAAAGGGGACTCTGGCACTGGGGTGACCCTGGCAAAGATTCTGCCAGGTCCTTACAGCCCTGTGTGGTGGGAGGAGGAGGAGGCATTAACCATCAGCTGGGCTGGTTAAACGGTGGGATCTGTGGTGTTTAGGAGGCCTGGCTTCTTTATGAACCTCACCTGCTTGGTTGCCTCCATCCCTGGGTCCGTTTCCAGCAGGGACAGGGAGGTGTTTGCTGCAGGTGGAGTGAGAGGAGGTTCTTTTGCTTCAGCTCTTGAATCTCCCGTGAATGCAGTGGGCCAGAACAGTTGTGGCGAGCTCACACCCTGCTGGGTATTTGCATTTGGGGTTATGCTGCTGGCAGGTCCATCCAGCTTCCCGCAGTGTTTGGGCTGGAAGTGCTCTTGTCCCACAGTGTCCTGTGAGGGTCTGGGGAGGACCTACCTTTCTTGATCTTGTTTCCTGGCTGCTCTTTGCTAAAAGGTGCCTATTCCTCCCTGCCACTGCGGTCAGGGATGGTGTGGCTGCCCCAGTGCCATGTGATGTGGGGTTCTAGCAAGTGAGTCAGGTGGTGTCTGACATATCCACATATCCACGGGTGTAATCTCAGCCAGGCTGGTCACCCTCCTCCTAGGCAAAGCTGCCATTTCCTTTGTTACAGGACACATTGGAACAATTAAACTTCACCTGGGCTGGTTTCTTAAGCCCTTGATGGGATTTATTTGGGTTAGTGTACCTTGAAAGTACCTGCATTCTCCTCTTGCTGGCATAAACATTATAAACATGCTTATAGCAAGGGCTATGCAGGGCAGAGGGATAATCCTGAGCCCTCGAGCTGACTGAAGAAGCAGGTTGGGCTTCGTGTAAGAGTTGTGCTGAAAAGTTCTGTCAGGAAAGCACCTGCTGACAGCAAACAAGATGGTCTCAGCTGCTTGGCCAACTCAGTCTGCCCCACGTCCTCACCCTGTGGCTTCCCTTTCACGCCCAGGATTCTGGTCAGTCAGGAACAGTGACCAGCCCTCGAGAGGTCCCAGTTCACCAGCCAAGCTCACTTCAGGGCAATAAAAAGACTCTGTTTTAAAAAAGTCACACCAAGTTTATTTTCACAAGGGTGTATCTCCAGTAATACTTTATTCACAGCTTCCAGGTCACACAGTTCCACTGGTTGAGCTTCTCAGTCTTAGTATCAATGCCACGGAGGGGGACTGAACAGATTCCATCTGGGACACGTGGGATTAGCTCTTTTCCAGGGGACACCTCTCCAGATGAAGTGGATATGCTGCCCTGTTCCCATGCTTGTGGTGCTATTTTGGTACCTTCCAAGCAATCTGTGGGCAGGCGCCCTGCCCCTAAGCAAGCAGCTGGAGTATAATAATGCAGCTCAGAGGACCAAGCTGTAGTTTTGCACAGCAAGTCACCAGGACTGCTGAAAAGCCAGATTTATGGAGAGACGGCTGCATTCCTTCACCGCTTGGAACTGCAGCATCCCCACCCACCAGCTGTGTCCCAGCCTCGCTGCAGCTACGCCCTGTCCCAGCAGAGGGGACTGAAAGGAGCTGCTTCATTCTGGGGACTCCCATGGACCCAGCAGCCAGGTCTGGCTCTCCCTGTGCCTCTGCTCAGGGTGAAATTTGTGGGCTCCAATTTCTCCTTGCTCTCTCCCTCCCACTTCATCTGAGAAGGTGTCCTCTGCTTGCCCTCACTCCCCGGAGTCTCGGATCTCACGTCTCCCTAGCAGTAAGATGGTTGTGATAATGGCCTGAAATGTCCTTCCTGATGTAGCCCTGATCGTGTTACAGCTCCACTCGTGGTCTTGATCCTACTTACTCTGGAAAACGGCAGAGGGATAGTCCCACCTGCTCCTAAGAAAGAGAAGAATTAACAATTCCCTGTCCCTTGCCAAGGGCCAGAGCTCTGAAGCGTGACAACTTCTCACATGTCTGCTGTCAGGTGACAGTGCCTGGGAGAACCCAGAAGGATTAGAACCTGCTCCCTTTGGCTCTTCCCTACCTGTCTTCACTTCAGGACAAGATTTTAGTCTGAATCATTGGCTCATCCTACACAAAGAGCCAAGAGCCCTAAACTTCCCCTGACAGGGTTTGCATGTGAGCGAGTTCAGTTGATAAGGGATTATCAGATCAGAAAGAACCACCCTCTAACTCTGCTCCATGGGACAGGCTGGGAACTTGTCCAAAACAAAATGCACTTCCTGAGCAGGGGCCAACCAGCCAGATCCGATCAGCTCCCAGGGCTCTGAGTCCACAGGCTAAACTTGCCCTTGAGTCTGGTTCTGAACCCCAACTTCAGAAATGGGCACAACAAAATTAAATCACAAGCTCATATCTGTCCCATTTATACCAAAGTATCTACTCCCCTCCAGACCTGAGGTCAGACCAGAAAAATCAACACACTTAAACACTTTACAACTTGAGCCCATCTCCTGCAAAAGAAGAACAGAATTGAACACTGGGAGCTGCTGTGCAAACTCATTTCCCTGGTTCTCTCACACCTTAAACAGAGGTGGGTTCCCTGGAAGCAGGTGGCTCCATGCTCCAGTGCCTGAGGCATGAAGCAATTCCTGGAAGAATGCAATTTTGGATGCTGTAAGAGAAACACCCACTGAGTTGTTTAACAATGCCACGCTGCATTTCTGGATCCTCAACAAAAGAAGCGATGCCTCGGGAGCTCCTCCCCACCGGTGGTTTTGCTGCTCTTTAAGGAAGGCAATAGACTGTATAGTTATCACCTGAAATGGGATCAAATCCCTCCCACCAAACTATACAACCTACTACCTCACCTCCACAGAGCAGAACAGATGGATCACAGGCACGGATTTGCTTTAGTTGCACCACCTGCCCCCACACCTGGTGCAGAAGTGGATGAGCAGACCTGAAGACCTGACTGTCTCCTTAGGAAAGACAGTAGATTGTATAGTTAGCTCAGAGGGAGGACCGGACTCCACAACTATTCAATCTACTACCTCAGCCTCAAGGACAGCTTGGGACTGTGGCAGCCTGAGATGATCTTTATCCAAGCACTGAGATGATCCTATCCAGGCACTGGGATGAGCCTTATCCAGACACCGGCTCCGCAGGTCCTGCAAAGAGACATGAAAAATCAGAATTCTTGATGACAGGGGAGAGGAGTCATATCCAACCTTGTCCTGGAGCTCTTTCTCCTTCTTCAAACCTCCTTCAGCCCACCTGGACTATACCTTGTGCTTGGCAGTCCCACTGGCTGCAAACTTCATGCACCCAAGGGTGCACAAAAGCAGCAGCCCTGCCCTTGGAACCCGGGGCTACACATGGAGATAGCAGAGCTCTCGGGAAGCTGCAGCAGCACCAAGCACACCCAGCCAGGCTGACCTCACCTCCTGAACACACAGCATATCTAGAACAAACCTGCCAGACCAGATAAGAGAATCCATCAATTTAGCTGCTATGCACTCCAGGGAATTGAGCAGATTAGAAATAACTAAGTACAAGGAAGCTTTTAGGCTGCAAATGTAATGGTATCGAGTACATCAAGGCAGATCTTATTTCCTAAACAAATGAGTGCAACATGCAGCCGTGCTGTCCCTGTAATGCTCCAGCCCAGCCAAGCAGTATTAGCATGGATCTGAGACAGACTGGCTTCCCCCCAGGCCCTTGGCTCACCTTCTGAGGCTTCTTCACTCTCTGTACACCCAAATACAGAGGCGAGGTATTAATCTGGTAGTTTGAAAGAAACGTGTGAGGCTCTTTTGCAAGGAGAAAGAATTCCCTTTGGAGATTAAAGCAGCCCTAACGACGAGGGAGCC